CGCTACTACTTGTGTCATGAGACTCATTCGTGTTCGAACGTTTTGCCATTGTTCTAATAAAAAATATGAATAAATATATAGGTTGAAAATTTCTAATTGTTATTACTAACTCGCAAGATGATATTTACCAAAAAAACTGTTACCAAACAATTTATTTACCAAGAGAAGAATCACTTTCCCGATTTTCTCACTCGTTAGATCTATCTATACCGCTCGACGCTTCGAACCAGACCGAGTTCAGCTTTGAAAATCTTTTCCTCCAGATTTTATGATTATAAATCTCAATATACAGTGCGTGCTATGTTCGCATACCGATCTTTCTTCTACAAACTTGCCTTATCGCTCTTTTCAAGTGGCGTCTTCGAAGTGCTCGGACCGTCGCGAGCACGCCTCTCACGTTCTCGTCAAAACTCGTTGACATTTCTTGTATATATCTTAGTAATTTTACTATATTTTGATTCGATGTCTTGTGCCGTTTCAAGAGAAAACTTCAGGGAAACATGCATGTCTCAAAAAACTGCGCCGAAATAACTCAATTCCCCGTAATCGCTAATAAACTTGAATGTCCCACGAGAGGGGACATCCGAGCGATATGCTAGAATTACGACGTCCCACGAGAGGGGACAACGGAGTGCAAAGGGTTAAAATACAAGCATCAGCTTCGAGAAGTTGGATGTTGACCGCGTTGTCGTTACAGAGCACCGTTCGGGCTGTTCTATCACGCCGCTTGGTTCACCCAGCCTCATCACAAAGAGGGTTTCATCTCGTTCCTGGACACCATCGTCGCGATGGACGACGTGTGGATCGTGACGAACTGGCAGGCGATCCAATGGGTCAGGAATCCTACTCCGCTGCCGCTGATGCACACCTTCGAGCCCTTTGGCTGCAACTATCCGGTAAAAAGAGTCAACGAAACTATTCGATTGCTGCAGCAAACTCTGTCAAATCGTATCTCCTCTTCCCAAATCGCCCATTTTGGTTTCCAAGCTGAGGGGCGATTTGGCAGAATTTACCGTAGCTTGCGAAACGAGACCGAATAACGATTCCATGGGATTATTCGCAGGACCGACCGAAGAAATGCAACAACCCGAGAGTCTGTAACCTGTGGCACAAGAGCGGCGTGAGATACATGAAGACGTGTCAGGCATGTCCGGACATCTATCCTTGGACGGGCAAGACCGGCATCCGAAGCAGTCGCATCGACAACGACGTCGACTCGCACGAATGAGCCGGAACCGCGTCGATGTTCCGTACGATCGCGGTCCAGCCAACCGAGAAGGGAAGAGAAGAAGAGAGAAGGAGAGAGAGGAGAAGAGAAGAGATGAGAAGCGCCACCGGAGGAGACGAAAACGTTTCCGCCACCGATTCGGTCAAAATCCCGTTACCGTTCCTCCGCAGCGGGCCAACGTCTACCCGTCCATCCGGGCCGAGTACGCCAATGAAATCGAACCGAACCGAAACGAATCGAATCGAACCGCCATCCTTTCTCTCTTTACCGAAGGAACGAACGAGTCGCGCGACGGAACACGGTTGGGTCCTCGAGTTTCCACCGAGAAGACGAGCTTCGATGTCTCTGGCTTCCAAGACGGGAGACGAGTTCGTCCGCGTAACATTATTGGCGAAAGGGAAACGCAAATTCGACGTCGATCACGGCAGCCGGGCGTATATTATATTAATGTATGCCGGCGGCTCGTCGCGACGAGAGCCTATCGGGACGATCGGCGGTAACTCGATCGACGCGCGAGCTAATTAGCCGAGGCGCCACGTAATCCAGCACCGGTGAAAGGAACAAAAGAAACGCTATGTTTGCCGGGCGACGACGTTTTGGCTTTACTCTTTGGCAAGTAACCGACCAAACGTCTCGTCCCGTCTCACGCGACGTCCTCGCCCGGTCGAGGCAGCCGGCTTGTCTGCTCGTGCTTCGAACGAGTGGATTCTTCGTCTCTTCTCGAACAAAATCACTCCGATTCGACACACCTGACCAATCAAAACGAAGACGAGCATCGTTTCGAACGCGATGCGAGATGTAGGGTTGAGGTAGAAGCGCGAATCGACGTCCTCCTTTGATCCTGCGACGCGCGGAACGTGCACGCTTGGCCGATTCTCGCGCAGACAGAATTGACCGATGGAAAAATCTCCTCTTCCCCCGCGGTTTCAACTTCCCCTCCCCGTGCCCCGTAATCCTATGCCAATTTTTCTCTTTCTTTTTCGTTTCCCGTTCCCAGTCCCCTCCTCCCCCTTCCCCGAGTCTTCTTCCGCGCGCGTCCTTGGCGTACTCGGCCACGTCCGATAGAGCAATTAATTAATCGAAACGTATCAATGTATCGTGAACAAGCGCAACGAAATGTAACCGGAATCGTCGGTCGCGAGAGGTTTCCTAACAACAATCGATCCGGAGGTTCAGGAGGTCGCCTTGCGGACGAGACAATACGAACCGAGGGAACGAACACGTTCGCTTTAACGAACTATCGTGCACACGAGGGGATCGTCGTGTTTACCTTTTAGAACCTGAAACTGTAATACGCCTTTAATCAATAAATATTTCGCTACAATTCCTAAACAGAGGGCTACGCTACTGTAACAGCTACCTACGTACGAACGCTACGGAGTTCGCGTGGTTCAACGTTCGAACTAGTCAGACTTATTTGTTCAGAGGGCACTGAAACGATGAGGCGGTCCTGCGACAAATCGGAAACGACGGTTCTAGCGTTAAATGGCAAAAGTCGGGATCGGTAGAGGGTACATGACCGTCGACCAAGTGTCCACGTCGAAGTTGTGGATCTCCTGCCAGCTTATCTCGCCCTTCCTGGCCAAGGCCTCGACCCAGTACATCGCCATATTATTGTAATTCTGCTGCCACGTCTGCGAAGAAGAAGCGTCGATGCACAGAGGATCAAATGATCGATCGAAATTCATCGTACCCGTTTGTTCTGCTGTACCGAAGCCTGTATCATCCGATTCCCCTGTATCACCGCCCATTTATTCGCTCGTTGTAAACACGCCAGAGCCGCGGACTTCCGACCCCGCACGTGGAACATGTACCCCTGGAAGAGGTTCATAAACGGCTTGACGAACGCAGCCTTGTGCTGCATCCGCCGAATCGCTCTCATCAACGTGGTCGCGTTCTGCAACCTGTCCACCACGTCGTGCGATCTCTTGATGTTGATCCGTTGGTTCAATATCAGCAGATAACACTCCAAGCCCTATTCTTAGAAAACCAAAACTATTCTAATCGGTTCTTCGCATCCAGTCGCATTCGCGCACCTTGATGCAGCTGTAGATCTGCGAGTGATTGTAATACTGCATGTCTTTGACGTACTCGTTGACGTTCAACAAGTATTCGTCCGTGATCGGCATACTCCTGCAAGCGAATTTCAGCCGATAGAACGAGGGATACGCTGCGATACATACTTACATCCTCAGCTGCCAGATGATCACACAGGTGCTCAGACGCGTTAAGCTCTGCGGATCCCGGACAACGCCGGCGAACTTCTTGCGAACTGTACGAGAAATAATATCATAGACCCCCGTGATCACGCTATTAAAATGTTCGACGAACGTTAACGAACAACTTACTCGCAATACTTAAATAATGATTGTAACAAGTGTCGTATGACTCTATGAACATCCCAGCGTCGAGCAGCACTTCCAAACAGAGGGCGTAGTACCAGGTGAGCGCGGATCGGTCGACATCCTCTTCCGATAAAAAATAGAGCTCCTTCAGCAAATCCATCGCCGCGTTCAAATTTTTGGTCCACACCTGAAATCAAACTTTTTCTTACGGTTCAAGCGTTTTGCCAGTACACTTGTCGGCGTTGTACGGACGATGCCTAATAGCATTAACCCTTAGCGGACGACGACTTTTTCGGCCGAGTCAGGTAACAGGACGAGGCGATTTTTGCAAATATGTCGAGTGTCTTATATGGTACAATAGAATGATCTTACATATAAATTATCTTACACAAACGTTATGTTTCGTTAGTTTATCTATATTCACACTTTTATGAATATAATTTTACAAAAATTATGATTTGTAGTTTCGTTTGGTGTGATAGTTTGTAAAACATTGACCAAGATGCATTCTTGCTTTATCTGGACATGTATCACAGAAACAGGTCGTCTCATGTCTTCCCCCTGGTTTGTTTCGACTGGAACAAACTTTACAATCTTTCTTTGTGCCAGTAACAATTACATGCAGTTTCTCGTTTAGACGAATTTCGTCAGAGTTGGATGTCGAACTTGAAGATCTATCTCGTGGTTGACAAAAATCTCCTCTCAATTTGTTGATCAAAATTTTGCGAAAGTTCAAATGTGTAACTGGCTGTTCGTTTCTCTGTCTTTTTACATGTTTGTAGAGAATGTAGGAATTGATTAAACAAATTTCCAGTCCCCGGAAAAATAATTTGTGCCACCACTTCAGGGACTTTCACATAAAACAGTAGGTCGGATAATGTTGGAGATAACGAAATCTAACATAAACACCGACTGTCGCCTCTCGCTCGCCATTCGTCCTGCCGCGCGAAATGCCGTGGCGACCAAGAGTCGCCACTCGTCCGCTAAGGGTTAATTATAACAAAGTTAGGACACAAATGAATAAATTGGTTATATCCTTGGGGATACTGAATTGTTTAGGAGAATCTATCGCATCGATATCATATAAAAATACACAAATGACAACGTCGCGAAACATAATCAAATGCTGTCTGAAGTTCAGTTAACTATTATATTGATTAATTGCATTTTGCGTTGGAAACGTTCGCTTTTCTTATACGATATGGATGTAGCAGGTTGTTCGGAACATTTCTGTGTCCTTGGTTTACTTCTCGGATGCCTAATTTTGTCATAATTAATAATGTTTCTTAGCGATTCTGTATCGTTTAAATAAGGGCGACAGAGGTGCCTCTAATGGAGAAATGTAAAGCTACGTTCGACGTTCGTATAATACCAGTTGGGATAGTGGCAAGTCGCTCAAACTGTTCGCCAAATTATCAACAGTCGAGTCTGGTTAACAGTTTGAGAATTTTGCCACAACCGCAATTGACTCTGTACAGATTCTGAACAGAGATTCGAGATATTTGGAGCGATTTTCGAGAGATTCGGAGATTCGAGATATCGCCACGAGAGGCGCCACCTTTTAAATTTTCCCGAGCAGATAATTCATACCAGATTTTACATTGTATCTTATAGCAAAACCGGCACGAATCATCTGTTCTGTGCATTTATAGTATCAAATTTTTCTTCGAGTCTTCTAAAACATTCCTGTACCCTGAAAATATTCTCTTACTCCTGATGTTATTATATATCACGTGTTACGTGATATACTCGTCTCATTATTTCTCCTTAAAATGCAATCTATAAACAATTAACCCCTTAACGTGCACGCTCGAGTTAAGTCGAGCGCGCTAAACTGGCCGAACTCTGTGCACACTCGAGATAATTCGAGCGGCGTTGTACTTTATGTTGCTGTAATTTTTCACGCTCGAATGCAATCGAGAATTGAAAATAACAACGTGAAAGCAAAAAAAACAATCGTTTTATCGATATTTATCATTTACATGGGATTGTAAGCTATAACACTTACTTATTCAAGTATAAAATATATCCTTTTTCTACTTATCACTTACGACTTATCTCTTCCTTGTGAGCCGCTTTCCGACAGCGTATTCACATTCAGATTCTGATCCGCTCATTTTTCAATATATATTTTACTAAAATATAATGTAAAATAAAACATAATAATAATAATAATAATAATAATAATAATAATAATAATAATAATAATAATAATAATAATAATAATAGTAATATTCTGAAAATTAGAATTGCAATAAAAATTTTGATTATTTTTGTAATTTTCTTGCCAAGACAACGTTCTAAATTGTGTTTTTTTACATTTAAAAGAAATTGATTTTTTTTGGCCGGCCTTTTTCAAAAAAACTGTGCATTAAGGGGTTAAAATAAAGTTGCGCCATTACAGATCCTATTACAAACAGAACTTTACTGTACCATAACTTCTATCAGAGTCGGAAGCACGGCGATCTTCGCTTCGTTATAGTGAAACAAGCTGCATATCTTCAGCAGGTTGATTCCAGTCTCCATGCATTTCTTCAATTCGCCGTTCAGAAAACTTCGGGTTAAAAAAAAGAAAAAACAGGTCGTTAGAATTAGAAACCGCGTTAGCTGTCCGTCGAGCAACTTCGCCAAGCTTGTCACCTGTTCTCGAAGAACACGCGATACACTTTCGCCAAGATGATCAACTCCACCAACGTTTGCCAATTGGTTTTCTCGGAGACGACCTGCATCATCGACTTCTCCAATGATCGCACGTATCTGTAATCCTTCCGGAAGATCTTCACCGCGGTCAGGAAGATGATCCCCTTCTCCAGAAAGCCTCCGACAGTGCGGAAAGCGATGTCGAAGCTCTGGATGATTATCGATTTCGCGGATTTCGTATCCTGTTCCAGCTAGAAATTTCGGCGTGACAAGCAACTTTAACCACGATCAAACAACGGATCGACGTTAACCCTTTCGGTACGAGCGCGTTGTCCGCCGTGACGCTCCCACTGGACGGGGCGCCGCACCGAAAATGCGCACATAACGCAGCGTCAGTCCACTTTTGTACGAAGATTTTCTTAAGCGTTAACACGTTCCGTGCCACGTGTACCATCCATGGTACACGCTTGCATGTTTACTTAGCGAACTGAACAAATTGTTTACAAGAAATTTAGAACCGAAGAATCAATTTCCACCGCAAGAATGGGCGTTGATAAGTTTTTGTTACGTTGTTATGTGTACGAGAATTAATAATTGCACGTAATACATCAAGTTTTAGTAAAATATCAAAGTGTGAAGATTCGAGTAAAAAAAGCTCGGCACGGAACGTGTTAAGTAATGACTGTGCTTAATCCGTTTCTAGAGATCTTTCTTTAAATGTTTCCTGTAAACATTCTGTAACGCACATAACGCATCGTCAGTCCACTTTTGGACGAAGATTTTCTTAAGCGTTAAGTAATGACTGTGCTTAATCCGTTTCTAGATCTTTCTTTAAATGTTTCCTGTAAACATTCTGTAAAGGGCTTACAAAAATATGGCTTACATGGATGCCAGATGTATTCGGCACTCGTCCATATTGGTCGTCAGATGGATGCCGGATATATCCGGCGCTCGTACCGAAAGGGTTAATCAACGATCGCATCGAATTACCGACCATCATCGCGAGGGACAACCGCTGCAAGCAGATCGCCAGTTCCAATTTTTTCATCGCCGTGCGATCGCTGACACGATGCAGAAGGTAATTGGGCGAGCCTCGCAATTTAAATCGCAGCTTCTCCTTCCACACACCGTAGCAGGCAGATTTGTCGCGATGGCGGGTGACGCTTCGCATATTTAACGCTTCCTTGTAGTGCCTTCTCGCTAGCCCGTAGTTTCCGTAAGAAACGTACGCGTCGCCTGAAAACCGAAACGATCCGATCCGAACCGATCCGATTCGCTCTATCCGTGATCAAAGCGGCTACCTATCAGAAGTAGCGTAATCTCTTTGCTGATGGCCTCGTCGACGAGAACGACGTTCAGTTGTTCCCTGGCCTTTGTGTACTTGATCTCCGCGGTGGTGTCCGAGAGGAACTTGGTCGCGAAAATAGGCTGTCCCGTCGCTATCAAGCCGGCGCTGTAATCCAGCATAAAATTCGTCAGCTTCTCGAGGTCCTCTGAAAAGTCGTCAAGCGTGATCGATCGATCGATCTGACTCTTTAATCAAAGATTTACTTAACCTTTTAGGTACGGCTGAGTTCTGCGCGAGGCTATTTCTCTGGACGGCAGAGTCTGATACTGTATATACAGGGTGTCCCAAAAATGTCTCGCAATCCGAAAGTGGCGGATTCCTCGGACCATTTGAAGCAACTTTTTCCTTTACAAGCATTTTCTCCGAGGCACCGTTAACGAGTTATTAACGAAAAACAAGTGACCAATGAGAGGCGAGCTCGGCTGGCGCGAGGCGATCGAGCCAACGAGCGGAACTGGGCTTCGCGCGCTGGTTGGCTGGGCCGCCTCGCGTCAGCCGCACTCGATTCTTATTGGCCACTGTTTTTCGTCGATAACTCGTTAACGGTGCTCCGGAGAACATTTTTGTAAAGGAAGAAGTTGCTTCAAATGATCCGAGGAACCCGCCATTTCCGGATTGCGAGACATTTTTGGGACACCCTGTAGACTGTCGTAAATCGATGCGAAGACAAAAGAAGTGTGAAACAATGCATATGAAGACAATTATGTGGTTCAAACGATGAGCGAGTGAGCTACTAGAGCAAACCACTATAATGGCTCGTCGTCCAGAGAGATGACATCCGCGAAAGCCACTATAGAGGCGCGTCGTGCCTAAAAGGTTAAAGATCTACAAGCTCACGGCTGTGCTGAAGATGGAAAAGCAGCCGCCAGTAGGAATAGTCGATCGCGTCGACGCACCGACAGTTGCGATAATCCAGGTGGCTCAAGTGTTTCAGCCGATTTTCCCAGACGATTTGCGTCTTCTTACTACCGTCCGATGGTCCTGCTTGTAACGAATTCGCGGCGGAAATGTCTGAAACGGAGGATCGCGCCAGAGGATTACGCTTTCGCGTCGGAAACGTCGGATGCCTCACCCTCTTCCTCGTTGTTGTCTTCGAAGGAAGGCAGCAACGAGATCCTGCGGATAACTACGCTGTCCCGGTTTTTCCTATCTCCGTCGTTTGTTCCGTTGGTGAGCATCAAAACGTTCCGCTTCGACTCCCTTCTGTCCATCAGACGACTCTGCGTCCTCCTCCGTTTCATCGCGTATAAGGATGGCGTCGACGCTTGCTCATCAACCTTTCGCGATTAAAACGGCGACAGACGGTAATAAACGGAGTGTTTAGATCGAAGGACATGTGGATAATCTTTCATAATAATATAATAATATCATATAATATCATATAAAATAATTATAAATAAAATATAAAGTAATATCATATAATATCATATAAAGTAATAATAAGTAAAATATAAAATAATATCATATAATATCATATAAAATAATAATAAATAAAATATAAAATAATATAATATAATATCATATAAAGTAATAATAAGTAAAATATAAAATAATGTCATATTATATCATATAAAGTAATAATAAATAAAATATAAAATAATATGATATAATATCATATAAAGTAATAATAAGTAAAATATAAAACAATGTCATAATATCACATAAAATAATAATAAATAAAATATAAAATAATATCATATAATAAACAATCTTTCATAATAAATCATTCATAAATTGATTACGGTTGCAAGAAGGATCCCGAAAAACGAGAGAAATTTCTATCGCGTCAAGAAGAGAAGGAAGCCGAGCGAGATTTCTGTAGAAAGAAAAATCTGACCTGCGGCTCCGAAGGAGGCTCCTCCTTGGAGAACATCGAGAGGAAACCGTCGCCGCCGCAGGTGCTACACCTGTGGGCGTACCGCTCCAAGATGGCTATCGCTTTCGTGTGGAACTCCTTCCTCTCGTGTACAGGCAGGATATTGTAGAAGAGCTTGCGATACGACGGCATTACGAACTCCAAGTACTGGCAGTGGGCGTACGTAGGCAAAGATCGCGGCGCGAAGACCCCTGCAATCGGAATCTCCGATGACAAAGATTGGCCGCTTAGCGATCCCGGATGCTCGAGATCGGAGTAAGCTACGCGGACAACTAACGGGTGGGTTGACACTCGCAAGTTGTCAGGTGCTGCATGTTGCTAAAGGATCTCCGATTTTTCTGCAAGAAGAACATCGACTCGTCTATGTGACAGTTTCTTCGCTGAATCATCGCGCATTCGAGAATCCTCAACCTTATCATCTCCGCAACGGCTGTGGAAGATAACACGTCCGTGCATAAAACTTTGTTCCGTTTGCTACACCTTCGAGCTCTAAACTTTAACCTTTTAGGTACGGCTGAATTCTGCGCGAGGCTACTTCTCTGGACGGCAGAGTCTGATATGTACTGTACAGAGTCTGATACTGTATATTCTGTCTGTATATCCAGGGTGTCCCAAAAATGTCTCGCAATCCGAAAGTGGCGGATTCCCCGGACCATATCAAGCAACTTTTTCCTTTACAAAAATTTTCTCCGAGGCACCGTTAACGAGTTATTAACGAAAAACAAGTGACCAATGAGAGGCGAGTTCGGCTGGCGCGAGGCGATCGAGCCAACGAGCGGAACTGGGCTTCGCGCGCTGGGTGGCTGGGCCGTCTCGCGCCAGCCGTACTCGATTCTTATTGGTCACTGTTTTTCGTTAATAACTCGTTAACGGTGCCTCGGAGAACATTTTTGTAAAGGAAGAAGTTGCTTCAAATGATTCGAGGAACCCGCTATTTCCGGATTGCGAGACATTTTTGGGACATCCTGTAGACTGTTGTAAATCGATATGAAGACAAAAGAAGTGTGAAACAATGCATATGAAGACGATTATTTGGT